AAAAAAAAAAAAAAAAAAAAAACCCTGCAGGTGCTGGCTGTGTGGATTTCTTCATCTGTATACATGACCTTTCTCTTGCTGGTGGTAGAGTTTTTCCATCTACATTTGGGAGAAGATGTCCAGGGTCACTGTGAGACTGAGACCACTTCTATTTACCTGGGAGATGAGGGTGTCACAAGCAGACGATAAGCCGAATCCCACTGAAATCCCAGTGATATTGATTATCTGCAAATAAGGCCACGCAGAATTAGAGAAGGAAAGGCACGCAAATTATGTGTTAACCAGAGTCTGCAAAGCTCCTCCTTTAGCATTCACAAGTCAATGTGAGCAACTTTGTTAGCTGCCTAACAAAGGACCCCCTGGTCAGCTCAGTGGGGCAGCTTAATGTGCATGCACAAGTTCAGAAAGGGAAGAAAAGTCTATGCCAGAGGTGGACTACCCAGTCTTTCTCTTTTTAAAATCTTAGCCATTTTGCTCTCCAATTCGGGGGATCAGAAACACCGTTTAAGGGAATGCAATGTGTCACAGCAGCAGTTTCATATAAGGCCAAATGCTCAAGACCTAGTATGGCCCTTGTCAGTACCCTGAAGGGCGCTGGGAGTGCGGGGGAAAGTCTGAAGTCCATACTAGTGCTTTTCAGGGGTACTTGTCTTCACCAGGGTCAGCAACAAAACCCTAGAGTCCCTGATGTTTTGGGGAGACCTGGACTGTACCCCCCAAACCAGGAAGTAGCATCTGATGTGGAAATAGATGTTGGATGTTCTCATTGTCTGGTACCTGCACCTGAGTCTACATCAAGGATCTCTTGGACAACAGCCCAGACAGGACCCAGCCTGGAAACATCGCTTTGATAAGTCCTTGACCACACCCTGCAATTCCTTGGCCAAAGAGAATCTACTGAAGCTTGCTAAGTGCATTTCTGTCTTCCTCTAAATTTCCAAATGCAATGCTTAAAAACAAAATGGATAATTAAGCCTGGGGTTGTCCACGTTGCCTCCTGAAGCCAAAATAAAGTAATTCATATATACTTGGTAACTGGGTCCATATATACTTGGTGACTAGTTCTGAGTACTTTTGCCTAGTTCCGGAGTAGCAAACTAAAATGCCTGGAGGGATCTGGCATGCAAATTGAAAGTGTGTCTCTGCCAAGGCAGGAGGAAACGGGGGAAGGGAGGCTGGGGCATAGGGAACACACATCCACCTGAGAGCCACTGAATTCATTTTTCTAGAAAGAACCCAACTAGCCAAACCAAACACTTTGGTCTTTCGTGGCTGGTTGACAATCCCAGACAGAGATGGATGACATATCTCTGGTTTGGGGAGTTTGCATCTACAATATAGGTAAAACCCAATTTTAGGTTTGGACACTAGGATCTGGACTTTCACCTTTGAATTCCATTTCCAGATGGGACTCTGTTACACAAACAAGCCAGGCATGGTGGTTCATGCCTGTAATCCCAGTACTTTGGGAGGTGGAGGCGAGAGGATTGCCTGAGTTCTGGGGTTCGAGACCAGCCTGGGCAACTTAATGAGACCTTGTCTCTACCATAAATCAAAAATATTAGCCGGCTCTGGTGGCGCATGCCTGTAGTTCCAGCTACTTGGAAGGCTGAGGCGGAAGGATCGCCTGAGCCCAGCAGGCCGATGGTGGCAGTGAGTGTGCCACTGCACTCCAGCCTGGGTGACACAGTGAGACTCTAACTCAAAAAAAAAAAAAAAAAAAGACAAAACCAGGGGGTGGAGCATGGGGGTGTGTCAGTTTCGCTAGATGGAGCCAGACTTGAACTCCACTTTTACAACTCCCTTCTCCCAAATGTGGGACCGAGAGTGGGAAACAGAGCTTCATGGATTAGAAATTAGATAATGTGGTAGTCAGAATGTCCCTGTCCTAAACCCCAGAACCTAAGCATCTGTGAGATTACGCAGCAAAGGAGAATTAAGGTTGCAGCCCTGCTAGCATTTTGATCGTAGCCCAGTGAAATCCATTTTGGAGTTCTGACCCCCAGCACTCTAAGAAAATACATTTGTGCAGATGTAAGCCACTGCATCATAGTCATTTGTTACAGCAGTAGAAGGAAACGCATGCAGGCAGCTTTTGTAAACCCATGTTAGGAAGTTCCATACATACTGCAATTGCGAGGGTGACAGCATCCAGTTCCAGTTTGCCCAAGTGGCCGCAGAACACAGAGCTTACGAAACTGATAAGGAACACCATCAGCTGGACCAAGAACTGGGAAGAGGGGGGAAAAGGAAGTGAGGTGCATACCTATCAGCGAAATAAGGACTAGGGCCCTAGGAAAGACTCCTCCCCACCAACCCCATCAGAAGTAAAGGCACCCAATTTTCAGTGAGCCTTTGCCAGCTTTTACAGACAAATGTACAATTTCTGGAGTGCTTCTTGAAATATTAAAACATCTATCTGCAACCACTGGATCAGAATTACATTTCTAGCCGGGCTCGGTGGCTCAGCCTGTAATCCCGCGCCTCGCAGGCCGAGGTGAGTGGATTGCCTGAGCCCGCGAGTTCGAGACCCGCCTAGGCAACTTGGTGAGGCCTCATCTCTACAATAAATCAAAAAATTAGCTGGGCGTGGTAGCGCGCGCCTGTAGTTCCATCTACTTGGAAGGCTGAGATGGAAAGATCGCCGGAGGCCAGCAGGTCGAGGCTGCGGTTGCCGGGAGTGGCCACTGCACTCCAGTCTGGGTGACAGAGTGAGACTCCAACTCAAAAAAAAGACAGAAGACAGGAATGAACATCAGGAGTTGGGGGCTTGGAGGTGTAAATTTAAAAGGTTGACATGAAAAATCTGATTCTGTAGAAACTAAAGCTAGAGCCAATGAACCCCTGTAGGCCTGTACTGGAGTCGGTGCCATGATTTCACTACCCTTACAGATGCTTTTTGTGGTTTCATTCAGTGGTGTTTCTTTTTCTTTTTCTTTTTTTAGCATGGGTCTCACTCTGTCACCCAGGCTGAAGCGCAGTGGCATGATCACAGCTCACTGCAACCTCTACCTCCTGGGCTCAGGCAATCCTCCCACCTCGGCCTCCTGAGTAGCTGGGACCTTGGGTACAAGCCACCACACCCGGCTAATTTTTTAAATTTTTTTGTAGAGGCGAGGTCTCACTGTGTTGCCCAGGATGGTCTTGAATTCCTGTGCTCAAGCAATCCTTGTGTCTCAGCCTCCCAAAGGTCTGGGATTATACGTGTGTCTCTTTAAATTGTGAATTCATGTATCTTTAAAGGCCCTGGAGTTCTTTTTATTTGTGAACTCAGCATCACCTCTACATCTTTTCAGATGACTGTCCTTTAAGCCTTTGTGCACATCAACCATCGCAAACAGTTGTGTTCCCAGAATCTTGTTTCTCCTTTCCCACGGATCATCACGTTTCCACTCCCCAGCTCCCTGTCTCCCTGCAGGCCACATGTGAGCTGTTTCTCATGGCTTCACATGAAAATGTGCTCAGTCTCCTCTATCAGTGGCCTTTGGAGTGTTTCCCAGACTTTGCTATCACAAATCATACTGCCCTGAACATCTTTTTCACTTGGGCAGGGGATGGGGCATTTTCTTAGGGTGAGTGCCCAGCCCAAGGGTGAGAATAATTAGATGTTTTGCAAAAGGCCAGGAAGTCGGGCTGAGCTAAACTAATTCATGTGAGAGGCACCTTCAACGCCAATGCCAGCAAAAACAGTTTCTTTGTGAGGGCTGCTGCAGCTCTGCCGGGTTATGGCAATAACCCTATGCTCAGATTGCCCAAGACAGGCAGCCAAATGCAGCCAGCCCATCCTGAGCTTCGGTCCCCAGAGGATCACAGCTCCAGAGTTCAGATTTGCTGGCTTCTTCTCAGGTCCTAGTTTCAAGCCCTCTGGTGAACTCTTGGCCAAAGACTGGTCTGTGTACAAAAGGATCACCTGGGAAGTTGTTTAAAATGTCTGCGCCCTGGCCCATCTCAAGAGACTCAGGAGGTCCCTGGGGCTGAGGACCCTGCATTTCAACATATCCTTCACCCTACCCTATACACACCCACCCAGACAGGATGCAAGTGGTGGAAGACCACACTCTGAGAATGTTCCAGACCCTTTGGGACTGTGCCATCACAGAACATATTGCTGTGCCCAGGGAATTCACCAATTCTGGACAAAGGCTTGATCCTCTAGATGTCTTCACGACTGCTGTCTGAACAACAGCCTGAACTGGCAGCAGTTGCCAGACCGACTGTGCTTCTGTTCCTTCTTCTTGTCACAGGGACCCTGCTCAGGTTTTGGCCAGGCAGCAATAAACAAACTCGGAAACTTGGACGCAAGATAAAGAGTCTCGCTGCCTAGCAGCTTTAGAAGGGTGCTCTCCAGGGCCAGATGCCTCCAGAAGGGCCTCTCTTACCTCTCCCTTGGGTGCCTAGAAGTTCACTCACCCGAGGGAAACTGAAAGGTCATCTGAAACAGTTCCTTTCTTTTATACATGAGGAAGCACAGGCCAGGAGTTTCAGTAACCAGCCCCATCACCTGACTCTCAACACAGAGGGTCACCTAGGGAAACTGTCTTTGGAGCATAAAGTCCACATGAGCACTGGAGGTGCTGGCATGAGTTAGATAAACAGCATTGTTCCATTTTCTATCCCGTGGAACCCGTAGTACAGACGGGCCCTGATTCATGATTTTTTGACTTTACAATGGTGCAAATGTGATATGCATGCAGGAGAAACCACACTCTGTCTTCTGTTTTTTTGAGTCAGGGTCTCACCCTATCACCCAGGCTGGAGTGCAGTGGCACAATCACAGCTCACCATAGCTTCAAACTCCTGGGCGATCCTCCCACCTCAACCACCTAGTAGCTGGGACTACAGGCGCACACCACCATGCCTGGAATTTTTTTATTTTTTGTAGAAACATGGTCTCACTATGTTGCCTAGGCTGCTCTTAGTTCCAAGCAGTCCTTTCGCCTTGGCCTCTCAAAGTGCTGGGATTACAGGCGTGAGCCACTGCACCTGGCCAGGAAAAGTCATACTTTGAATTTTGATATTTTCCCGGGCTAGCAATAAGCAGTCTGAGATTCTCTTGAAGCGCTCGACAGCAGCAGCGAGACACAGCTGTGTCACCCCTATGTCATGAGGGTAAACCCCATACTCTACAGTATTGTGTTGCCAAAATTGTATAGATACTGCATTTCGTGTTTTTGCAAATGTCCATCTGTCTCCTGCTTCTGGGATGAAGAAGGGGAAGTCAACAATTCTTGAGATGAGTGGACCTTGAACAACTACCGTAATACTGTAAGAAAAGGATTGACAGTAGCAGGAAACTGCGGGGGTGTGGGCGGGGCGGGGAGGTGTGATTGGCAGTAGTGGGAATCTGCCTGGGGAAGGCGGGGGGCACACCTCATCAACAAGGGTACCTGTACAAAGAATATTTGTATATCTAACCCTGAATCGTACCCCACAATTTTAAAATTAAAAATTAAAAAATAAGCCGGGCTCGGTGGCTCAGCCTGGAATCCCAGCACTTTGGGAGGCCAAGGTGAGTTGGATTGCTTGAGCCCACGGGTTCGAGACCCACCCGGGCAACTTGGCGAGACCTCATCTCCACTATAAATCAAAAAACTAGCCGGGCATGGTAGCGCGCGCCTGTAGTTCCAGCTACTCGGAAGGCTGAGATGGAAGGATCGCCGGAGGCCAGGAGGTCGAGGCTGCGGTGGCTGGGAGCAGCCGTTGCACTCCAGTCTGGGTGACAGAGTGAGACTCCAACTCAAAAAAAAAAAAATTTTTTTAAAATAATAATTCTTGAGATGAAACTCAAGATAATTGCCCAGCATGAAGGTGACAGGTCAGTTACGGCCACTGACGCAAGTGAGGGTTTTCACAATCCAGGATCTCAATCATCTCATCCTTTAGATGCATTAACAATATTTTCAGCTTACGTGACCCTATTCCAAGTCAAGGAGCAATTGTAGAGCAGAGAGATGTTCGAGATGTAATAAATTACACAACTCATGCCATCTGTGTCTTGAGCTATGAGAGTGGAGCAAAGGAGTCAGAGAAGGTTCCCGGAGGAATGATGAATATGTCAAAGAACCTCCCAGGAAGAGGGAACGAGAGTAGCAGGAGGGGCAAGGCTGAGATACTGAGAGGCCGCGTGGGAGGCATGAGTCAGGAGGTAGCAACAGGAGATACGGAAGGAGGGCCCGGTAGGGCCAGGCCATAGATGGCCTTTCAGGACCATGGAAAGGGTTTTGAGCAGGCGGTGACAAGTTCGGCTGTGTGTCTGAAAAGGGCTTCCAGCCGGGCTCAGTGGCTCAGCCTGTCATCCCGTGCCTTTGGGAGGCTGAGGTGAGTGGATTGCCTGAGCCCGCGGGTTGGAGACCCGCCTGGGCAGTGAGACCTCATCTCTACAATAAATCAAAAAAAATCAGCCGGGCGTGGTAGCGCCTGCCTGTAATTCCGGCTACTCGGAAGGCTGAGGTGGAAGGATCGCTGGAGTCCAGCAGGTCGAGGCTGCGGTGGCCGGAAGCGGCCACTGCACTCCAGTCTGGGCGACAGAGTGAGACTCCAACTCAAAACAAAAAAAAGAAAAGGGTTTCCGGGCTCCAGTGGAGTCATCTGGGCAGCATGCAGCACGAGAATGGAGATGTGAAGGAGTGGATTCAGCTAGGCGCGGTGGCTCAGCCTGTAATCTCCGCACTTTGGCGGGCTGAGGAGAGAGGACTGCCTGAGCCCGGGGATTCAAGACTACCCTGGGCAACTTGGCGAGACCTCATCTCTACAATAAGTCACAAAAACTAGCCGGGCGTGGTGGCATGCGTCTGTAGTTCCAGCTACTTGGAAGGCTGAGGCGGAAGGATTGCCTAAGCCCAGCAGGTCGAGGCTGTGGTGGCCGTGAGCAGTGTGCCAGCACTCCAGCCTGGGCGACAAGAGTGAGACTCCAACTCAAAAAATAAATAAATAAATAAGTGGATCCTTCTGAGAGATATTTAGGGCACTAAACCCAGAAGCCTTGGTGAGGACAGGCCAAAAGGGGAAATGGGAAGGGGAAGGTGCTGGGCCCTAACTGGTTTCCTCTCTTTGACTGTTGCCAGTCTTGGATACTTTCTCACTCCCATTCACCCAGAGGAACTGTCTTCTCCTTGCAAGTCTTCCTCACTTTATACCTGCATTACCTCTGGCCCCTACCAAGCTTCTCCTGCTGAATCTGAGGCCAGTAACCACTTCCTGATAAGTCTTTTTCTCGCTGCCTATAGGACACGATTTT